CAGGATAGCCGTATAAACCCATTCTCCCCAACTGCTCTGTGCTATCTTTAGCATGTGGAGGTTGCAGGATAGCCGTATAAACCCATTCTCCCCAACTGCTCTGTACATTGAACTCTGTTGCTTCTTCCTCCAAATGTTTTTGCAGGTGGAGGCCCTGATGGACACGAAGCAATGCCAGCACTTGTTGGAGAAGTCAATGATGGATCTGAGGAGTGGGAGCCTTGGCCCCCAGATGTGCTGCTCTCCTTCCCTGGATGCCAGTCTGGACAACGAGACCATCTCTGTCCCTCAGAATTGTCTTGGTTGTTGTTTTGGGGAACCCTCAACCTCTTGGCTTACTTCTCTGACTTTAGATCTTATTGAATCTTAGTGTCCTAGTCCACTTACCCTTTTCTTTAAGCCTGGTTTATTTTACCAGAACTTTCTCTAGCTGTAACTGTAAGTATGTAACATTTTAGAAGGCTGCTAGTCACATTAGCATACTCAGAGCCCTTGCCCAAGGGTGCTCTTGCTCACATGTGAGGAGAGCAAGCCAGGAACTTTAACCCTTACTCAGGGATGAGAATAAACTAGAGCACAGAGCATGACTTCCACAGTGTGGTCCCTGAGCCCGGAAGCTCCTGACTCCACTGTCTAAGCTCCTTGGTTTATTCTGTATTTGGACCTTTTCCACTCCTTGCTTGGCAGTGTCAACTGACGCTTCAACAAAAACTGCAGTCCTGACAGGCAGGAGCAGGGTTTCCAGTGGGATCTTGACCCATCTTGGTTCTCCTGCCTTTCATTCCTGCCTTCACCAATACATACATGACATCACTCCATAGGTCTCGTCTGTTCCTATGCCCTGCACTCAGTGAGGAGTTTTGAAACAATTATAAAATAAGGAAATACAGGGTCTGGAATCTATGAGAAAGCCTGAATCAGACCCATGAGGCACCGGGAAAACAACAACCTGCTCAGTTCTAAGACTGTGAAGAGATGAAGACAGGTAGAAAGGGGGCTCACCGCAGGAAGTGGGTCAGAGGTCTACCCCCTGTTTGAAGGAATTTTCTGTTTAAAGGGAACACTAACAAATTTTCCTCATTACTGTCTTCTGGAAGACAGGCCAAGGAGCCGCTGTCAGAAAGGCTGGTGGTATGAGCACTCAGATATTCACTCTGGAAAGGAAAGTCAAGCCATGAATTGCCCATCCAAGGGTCTTTTCTCAGAAGATCACCAAGGACATCATTTTTAGATGCAGGTAAGATGGCCAACTTAGAGGCCCTTAGCTTCTGATGCTAATGCACTGGGGCTCTGAATAGCTATGAGGGGAGAGGGCTGAGACTGCAGCTCAGTCTGGAGCATGTGCCTCTAAGTGAGGCCCTGGCTCTGTTCTCAGGAGTCACTGTGGGAAAATGTCTATATTCTGGAATAGGGAAGTTCCCCAAGCAGTGTCAGCTCTCAGAAAATGTAGCAGGAGCTTAGTTTGCACAGAAACCCTACCCTTTCCTGAATAGAAACTGAAGAGGGGTTGATTATGGCTGGGAATAGATGCGGTTCATGAAGGAAGGGGCTGAGAGAAGGGAAAATGTGGCCCTGATGTAAAATAAATTAATTTTACACTGCATCTTAAAAATACCCTAAAAGAAGTATCCAGCAGGACCCTTTCCACTAAGGGTGCTGTGATGGAGATGTTGAGAAATGCTTTCTTTGCATATACCTAAGCAGATGGAGAGACCCCAGTTTCTCATCAGACCTCTCTGCTTCCCTTCTGCAGCCTTTCCAGGACCCACTTAGGGATTGTGATCCCAGGTCCACTGGTTAGGGCTAGGAGGGTGGAAAATGGCTGCATATACACAACCCCAACCCTCTTGCTGGAGCTGTCATTTAGTATGGTCACCATGGTCCTTTCTCATCTAGTGCCATCCTGCTGTGGGATAAACATCTCACTAGAATCAAAGGACAATGTTTCTAAACTCTCCCTATTGGAAGGCAGGATACTTAGTGTGTTCTAAGAAAGGGGCATTGGTGCAAGGAAGAAATCGGATCAACAGGTGGATTGCACTCAAGAACACAGCCCCCATTAGACATACCTATTTCATTATTCTCACTGCCAGCACCTTGGCTTATGGTCCAGACCTCAGTCACTTCTCAGACCTCTCTCCCTCGTGGAACACATCCAGACAGTCACCACGACCAGTGTCCCACCCAGTACAGCTCTAAGTGAGTCAGCACTCGCTACACAGGTAGGGTGGGAAGCTTTCCTTTGTAGCCTCGCAGCCATTCTTGGTCTCTTCCGTACACTTTCCTGGTAAACTCAGACCTAGGGGATGTTATCCCAGGATTTCCCTCCCTTGTCAGTCCTCACAGCTTCCAGCACGATGTCCTTTGCATTTTCAGGTGAGCCTACGCACCAGCTGCACCCATCAAATAGAGCAGTTAAACCACACTGCATTTGTTTCCTGAACTGGTCCATGGCTCACCTCTGCGCTGCTCAGGAGACTTAATGCCTCTCTCAATCTTCCGGGGTCCCCTTGGTGAGATGACACTTGGAAGGGGATCAGAGGTGGAAGGTCCTCTCTTGAGCACCCTAAGGGAGCTTAGCTGTTGATGCACACATGGAGGGAGACCATATTGGGAACTGGCCTTCGTGGAACCCCATATCTTCTAGGAATGTAAAATGAGACTGGGGTTCCTCCAAAGTGGCTGTATTCCATATTTTCTCACAGCAGAGAGTGTCTTTCTGGATTTTACATGGGAGTTTGCCTTCTTCTATAGTCCTGAGCTGGCTGTCATACAGCATATGCTGGGAGATGGGAGTGTTAAACAAGAAAGCAGCCCACTCCTTCTGGCCCAACAGGGAACCACTGACCGCCTGACTGCCGATTCTTTCTGCTGCCTGGAGATCCCAGATACTTTTGAGTTTATCGGGTGGGGAGCACGTGGGCTAGAGGGCAGCTGTGGTGTCTGAGGCAGAAGTGCCGCCACTTCCTGCTCATCCTGCCCTCCTCCTACCCCTGCTCTCTGCCTTCACAGAATGCTCTGCTGTTCTTCAAGCTTTCCCAGTCTTCCTGGAGAACTCAATCTGCCTGGTCATTAAAACCTCCTGCAGAGCATATGACCTGGACACATGTGAGCTTTCATTATTATCCTTGCATGCTTTTAGTGTTCTGATTGGGTATATGCAAACATTTATGAAGTTCAAGTTCAAACTATGCAGACAAGACACTTTCAGAAAACTGCCAATTCTCTTGTCCCTTGCCATTACGGTCCACTGAGCACCTCTGACAACTTATCTTGTTCCCACACTTTCCTCCACCTTTCTGGTCTTTGTCAGTTGCTCCTGACACATGTGGACTGGTCGTCCTTTTCCTGTCTCCTGGCAATGACCTGGTTGCTTTTAGTGGGCTGCCTACATCATTCTCCTTGGGGGCTTGTTAGGAAGACCATTCCACCAGTCCTGTCTGTCTGATGGGCAAGTAGCACTGGCAAGTGACTTGTGAAAAGAGTCCTTGCCCATATGCAAAGTGGTATTTATGGGCTGAATCTTCAGGGAAACTCCCAGACCTGGGCCTGAGGGTTTCAAGAGAAACACGGTAAGTTGTTACATGCTAGGGAATTCCCATCTTGTTGTATGCTACTGTGATGTGTTCAAAAATCTGAAGTTCTGGGGCAACTTAAATTTTGAAGTACTCATTTGGTACTGAGAAGCCTGGATACTTTTCCATAGAAGGCTGAATTTAGGACTGGCCAGGCAGAGTTCAAAGAATTCCACGTTCAGGTTTCACATATACCCAGGGCTGAAAGACAAATCTAAAATCCTTGACATTCCCACAGACTTAACACAAGCTACCAGCACTAGATCTCATGAATGGTCATTCACTTGTAGCTAACTTTTCATCAACCTTTCCTTCTAGCGTCCTTTTTGTCTCATGTGCTTGCTACCTCCTGGCAGATGCCCCTTGCTCTCCACCAGGTTCTGGGACAGAAGGAAGCCTGGATGCTGCTGCCATGAGCTGTCAGCTGGCATGTACGCTGGATAGAAGCGGACTGGTTTGTGGGCTTTTCCTGACGTCAAGGTGACTGTGCATGGTGAGAGAGGCCAGGTTGCCACAGTCCTGAATCAGTAGTCATGATGCACCACACTGTTCTACCGTGGAAGGAATGGGATAAGGAAAAGGAGAGCAAGCCTGGCCCAGAGCTGGCTTACTTCTCACTACAGTCTCAGGGCTTCTCAACTCTGCACCACGTTTGCTGTGGTCATTGATACAGCACAGGTTCACTGTGTTATAAGTGACTGTTCCTGGGCCGGTTGATAAGTTGGGATTGTCTTCACTGGATGTTATTTGCAGACCAATCTGTACCTCTATTTTCATACCTGCCTTCAGTCTGACCAATCATATGATTCCTTCCAGAGAACATTCCTCCTTTTATCATCTTCAGTAAACTCATCAACCAGATGCTGGAATTCATGTGCCATCTCTGAGCCCTCATGCCCAGTCCTGACCCACGTGGAGCTCTGTCATCATTGGAGGAATGGGTCCAGGCTGATTCAAGACAAACATCATCTATGCAACTTTATCAAGATGTAATAAGATGATCTCAGCACTTTGGTAAGTAAGTCTAAAAAGTGTTCCTTGCTACCTTTATTGGTCGAAGATGGGCAGAAGTCTTCTGAAGTCCTTTTAGGATCTTGGATACATGTCTCACAGGACATCTCTGGACAGTGGCATGTCTGCAGTGTCTCACCGTTTCTTCATGATGCTCAGGATCATACTGGGACTTGAAGAGGACACAGTACAGGAACACTGTAATCTCTGGTGTATGAATTTGGCATGTACACAGCAGAGCAGGCACTCATGTGAAATAGCATTTGGACATGTTTTCCACTAGGTGGAAGAGCCATTTGTTCACTGTCCTCATCCCTGGATGAATTGACACATGGGTCTCTACCCTTGTGGTTTTCTCTGCCCTTGTGGTTTTGAGCCCCAAGGATGGCAACTTCTGGTGCAGGTAGCTCCAGGACCTGCCTGAGTGCTCTTTGCTTGTCTTCTGCAGATGGATAACACAGGTGATGTTCTCTGTACATGATCCCTGCAGTGGCAGCGTGTCACTTCCTCTCCTGGGAGCACCAGGGTTCCTTACATAATCTGCTCACTTACCCCAGTCCTGAAGCACTTCCACTACATGATTACACGCTTACTTAGACTTTACATGTGTTCATGGGAACAGCCCTGGCTGGATATTTCAATTCTCAGCTCCATTTTACATGCAGTGTAAAAATTCCAGGCCCTCAACACCAGAAACACTCAGGGCTAGGAACCTCTGACTTCACACAAAGTCACCCAGTATGACTCTGGATAGGCAGTATGGCAGAAGTCAACTCTGACATAAAAAGCCTGTTTGACATAGGATACAGAGAAAGAGAGGGGGGAGGAAGCCCACAGTTCCTCTGTCTCAGTGGCCTTCTCTTTTCTGTTTGTCTCTTTGGCCAACACTTGAAAGAACCTCTGATTATTCATGCTTTAAAGGGGGGGGGGTGATCTCAGACCGGAAGGACCACCAAAAAGCTCAAAGATCAGGCTACAGGAACAAGTATAGCAATGATGGTTTTTTTTGTGTATGTGTGGATTGGTGGGCCACCACACGGCCTATAGCAAGGATAGGTCGGTCTGTGCTAGGAACAAATCGTGTGCAAGGAATGTTGCTCCCCTCACCTTATACAAGCTCCTGTATTTTGTTCTGCAGATTCAGCTCTGACACCGAACATCTTAGCCTCAATGATGTCCCCAGGTTAGCATATGGATGGCAGCTGAGAGGCCTGGCTAATGTAAGGATGGATCACATCTTTAGGAAGCATTTGAATAGCATCTTCAAGGAGGAGAAAGGTGCAAGGAGAAAGGCTCATCAAGTTGCAAGGATAAAGGATCATCAGGCATTCCAGGGTACAGACAGCCTGACTGCCTGCAGTCAGAGGTTACCTCAGACTCCTAGAAGAGGCAGAGAGCTCCTCTCCACAAAGGAGAAGAGCCGGAAGTAGCCCCTTGTTGAAGCTATAGTCTTCCAGGACTATGACGGCGAAACTTTTAAACTCTGTGGACACAAGATTCAGAAGTATTTGTCCAGCCATGTACAGTCCTTCTCATATCTCACGTGGCATAACTGCCAGTTAGACCTCGCAAGTGTCGTGTGCTGAGAGTGTCCCACGTGACACGCCAGCAAAGGGGGACTTTCTGTCCTTTACAGGGTCTGGAAATAGGCTGGACACACAGTCTATATTAAAGCTGCAGTTCTGTACTTTGTGGTTATTTTCCCGGTTCACACTGGTTTCACTGAGAACAAGGAACGGAGCCTGATGTTCCAGAACTCAGCACTGTGAAACTCAGAATCACACGGCTCAAAACAGCACAGACATCATTATGGGGTGAATCCAAGGACATGTGAGGTGGGAATTATGCAGATCTACAGATACAGGATGGAGGAACACTTAACCTACAGAGAATCCTGCAGGGATTCCAACACTGTGGTGGCATTAAAGAAAAGGAGCCCCACCAGCCTCAGCTGGCCATGTCGTGGACCCTGGGTCATGGTGCTGCCATTGCCATCCTCTCTGGCATCCTCCCCATATGGAGACCAGCAGTGCAGGGTTGCTGAGCAGTCCCAGTGGCTCTAGGGAGGTGTAGTGGGTGGTTCCAGGAGGACGGCCCTCATTCCATTCTCTGGGTCTAGTATGAAATTGAGAAAGTGTGAGGGCTGAGGGAGGGTGAGGGAGGAAAAAATCCAGGCCCAAGTCCAGCTTAGGTCTCACCTTACCATGCTGGAAAGCCTCAACCACCTCTGCATGGAAGGTGGCCAGGTCAGGATGCACCACGGTCACAGCAGCCAGTGCTGGGGTTGACACACTGCACCTGAGGTCTCCTGTGATGACGTGGACAGGACGGAAGGACACACTGACTTGAGGTCTACTGGGATGACAGGACAGAAGGACACACTGACCTGAGGTCTACTGGGATGACAGCACCTGGACAAGATAGCACACCATCAGGAACTTACACAGGTCTGGCACAGATGGATTCTCTGGAAGATTGGTTGGCTATACAGGACTGACAGCCCAGGGGAGGTGCAGACCGCACACTGAGGCCATAGAGCAGGCAGCATGACTTGTGTGGACACAACACATCTGGGTGGTAATGGGGATCTCCAGATAGGGGCCCCTTCCACTCTCTGGTGTCACTCCTTCCATTCTAAATCCTGCCCCTGAGAAAGTCCGCCAAAAGTCAGTCCCTACCTGAGGCTGCTCAAGACCACACCTGCAGGCTTTATAAGACCTGGTGGCTATATTTGCCACTGGGATTCCTCTCCTGCCCTCCTTAGGGTCGTCCAGGAGTTTTGTTCTTTTCATTAAACCTGGATTTAATACTTCGGTTTGATTGGCTTATTATTTCAGTGGCAGATATCCAATAATCAGGGATTCAAACCTTATGTACCCAGGTGAGTCAAGTCTTCCAGGGACCATGCAGTGTGGGTGTGTGAAGCTGTCCCTCCTCTACTCCCTCGCTACACTGGACCAAGTTTTGGCTTGGGAAATTACCCATTTCCAAATCAATTGTCTATAAGACCTCTTCTGAAACCCAGGATTCCCTGAAAAGCTGGGGCTTGCCATGGCAGGCCTGACCTGCTTCCAAAGCAAAGACCGTCTTTGGTCTGTGAGTGAAGAGACCTCTTCTCAAAACGCTACCCCCCACTGTCCCTGCTCGATCCCGTTATTTTGTGGGATGCCTCACCCTAGTCTTTGGTCTCTCGCACAGACTTAGAATTGGGCAAAGTTGAGTCAGAAACTGGATCCTCAACCACGGAAAAATTCATCCAAATTGGGGCTGTAAGCCTTAACCAGGATCGGAAACTAAGCTTCACGTTCCTGCCCCCCCCCCTTCTCTCGCTATTTGCTGTCTGTGTCTCTGCCGACCCCACATGTTCCCTGCTCACCCGCTTGCTCATGTCTAACCTCTGTGATTGCCTTTAGCTTTCTCCCTGTCCCCAACGAAGCTATCCCTTCCCTCTGCCTGTTCTCCCACAGTACCATGCTGTAATTCTACCTGCCTGCTCCCTCCATACAGAATCTGTTCTTGTTTGATCCTGCTGCTCTCCAAGTGGGCAGGTGCACTTTTGGCTAAGGTCAGAGATGGAGGTCATAACACTGTCATCATTAGTGAAGGTGACCACGTGAACTGATCCCACAAGGAGACATCAGGTGGGTAAGATAGATTTCTGTATGCTAAATTCTGTCCTGTCCTATAAACAAGGTTTACAAAAGGTAAGATTGATTACCTTTTGCTGATTTACTGAGATATTAAAGTTGCATCTCTACATTCATGTACAGGGATGTATCTTGCTGAACAGCCAGATGTTGTAACATAAAAATATTCCCTTGATAACTATTTTAGAAAGATTAAACTGATTACAATGTCACAAACTTGGTTTTGCTTTCTCCAGATTAAGATTATGCTCCATGTCTTAAGATCACAGTTAAACACCAGAGACTGAGTTATTCCTATCTGACAACATCTAAACAGTCTGAACATATAAATGCTCTTAATTCTGAGCCTAAACAACATTTGTCCGATTTAGGAATACTTAATGGGCCTTGTTCCCCTGAACCTCAAGCAGCTTTAGAAACCTGAGAATATGGCATTTAATAAAACGCTTTTTATGCTAGAGATGCCAGCGCCTGGCAGCATCCTGCATCTCCTCCAGGAAGATGGGTGGCCACTGCCACCTGGAGGCCTGCCTTAAACGTGGAAATGCCAGCCACAGAGCAAAACACTGCATTTCGCTTTAACTGCTGCCACGACCCTATCCAGCCTGAACAAGCAAATCAGCAGGGTGTGAACTGTCTGGCCCTGCCATGACAGATAAGCCAATCTCCCCAAATTCCTACTCCACGGAAAAGTCTGTAGGCCTCCTGGGTTTATCAGTTAATGGCAGGTAATGCTTCTGGGGTTTCTGTCACTAAAGACCATGGAGAGACCTGGGATTGCTACCTAGACAGCTGGAAATGGTCTCACTTCTGCTCATTTACTTGTCCTCAGATCTGATGGTGTTTGAGGACCACCGTAATAACCGACTGGCTAGATTAACAGCTCTCCCAGTTCCGAGGCTACAAGCATCTTGGCAGCTCATTGGTATGTTTCCTGTTAAAGGTGACAAGTGTGTCAGACAAGTGTGTCTCATTCACAGACCCCATGGTACAGGATAAACTGGTTTCAGATGTAACTTTGGAGTATTAAAGTTTTAAGGTGGATAGATACAGTTCTGATAGACTGAAGAGCACCGACTTCAAACACTTTTCAGGAGTCCTTAAGTTTCTGTGGATTTTTTAACCCAAAGCCGTAGCCTTTTCCTATGAGACCAAGATGTAAATCTGGCTCAGTTGTTTTACAGACACCTACGGATCCTGCACAAGTCCATCCCTCCTGCCTGACTCGTGCCAATGCCAACCCGCAGAGGGTCCTACAGATATGCCAGCCCCTGCAACAGACAAGGACATCAGGCGGGCTCCATTATCTCCCCCCTCTTATTGACACCTTCACGATGGATGTACTTCCAACATTCAGGAAAACAGCAGGTAACATGACTCCAGTATTCTCAGAAATGATCATGCCTAGATTTGGCATGCCATTTTCCCAAGCTCCTGGGACATCAGTGCTGATGCCACCTGTCCAGACTCTAGGGCATGTCGGCTCTTTTGTCTGGCTCATGCACCCTTGCCTCTTCTGTACCACCGGGGCACATCTCTGTTTTGTACTTTTTCCCACGGCTAGCCCCGCTCATAGGACAGGCATTAATCTGTTTTTCTTTCTACTAAAAACACGCCTTTTCCGCCTCCTTAAGGAAGCAATGCCAGAGGTCTCCAGAATGACAGTTACCAAATATTCCTTAACCCACTTTTCCCCTGAGGGTGACCCCCGACTCCCCATTCCCCTTCTCCATGTCACCCCATGCCTGCGGGAAGTAGCCAGACTGGAATCTGTGCCCCCCACCCAAGAAGTCTGGAATGTTTAGGTGGCAGCAGTACCGCTGTCCATATATACCCCCAAAAGGTTGGTGTGCTGGAGATCTGCAGCTAAGTGCCCCGTTTCATGCTCTGGTCTCACTCCTTCCATGCCCTGAGAAAGCCTGCCAAAGTCAGCCTCTACCCGAGGCTGCTCAAGACCACACCTATAGGCTTTGTCTCACAAAAGAGCAGAGAGCTGCAGCTTGCACAGCCTCCTGAAGCCAAGCAGAAAGCTGAAGCTGAGCCAGGCACTAGGGGGAAAGATCAGTCTCAGGGAATGTGGTGCCTGAGACTGAGGTCCCAAGCCATGTTCTTTCAGGATGAACTGGATTTGTCCTGGTGGCTTTTCTATGTAAGTCACATACTGGAATCCACTGCCTCAGGAAGGCTGATGCAGACTTCACAGTCTGCATATGCATTTGGCCATGTTGGGTCAAACAAAAAGGTCAGGTCAAGAAGAGAGAATAAAAGAGGAGCCTATCCCAGACATTGGGGTCACTTTGCTCAATGAAACTGCAGGGAGAGAAAGGGCATGAGGAGCCCCATCTGAGGCTGGGGATGTCTGGGGCACAGAGAACAAAGCTAACCTTCCGCATAGCAGTAAAGGCAGGGCCAGAGGTGGCTATGATCTCCACACGGTCTCGTGTCCAGACTGGCAGCTTCGCCAGGACAGGAGGGCAGGCACAATGCTGGCAATGTCCCTCTGATGCACAATGGCCCTGCCTGGGTAGACACACATGCTGGGACCCTTGAGTTCAACTTGCCTACCAATACTGCATGTCCACTGGGGTCCCCTCCCTTGTTTGCTCCTCAGATGGACAGTACAGCAGTCAAATCCCTCCTTCCTCGCCCCCATCCATCTGCCCCAGTAGCAACTCCAGCCTTACCTATGGATTGGTTCACAGCCTTCATACACAGATTCTCCACCAACACCTTCCCTGGGGGCGGAGGTGTGCTGACCTTTGACCTAGGCTAAGAAAAGAAAACAGAAAACAAGATCAGAATCTATTCTTGCCTGCCTGGTACCCAAGTCTTCCTTCGGAACAAGGTCAGGTTTCATGGGTCTGAGCCAACACTTTCTGCTACAGAATATTATATAGAGAAGATCAAGGGGTCCAGAGATGTAAATACTCCAGAGCCTCTGAGGAGGAACAGAAACCTCTGTACAATGTGTGGTCACATTGCAGGTCCTTGCCATCCAGTCTTTTTGTTTCTTTCTGGAGTGGAGGTGTCAGGTTCTTCG